GGACATCATCATGGCTATTCATAAGCCCAGTAAAATAGAATTACCAAATAATCCGTCAAATTTTTGATCGATAAGCGACGAAAATTCTACTAATAAAGGCACTAGCGCGGAAAAGTCAAAGCCAGTCAGAAAGAGGAAGCGAGTTATGTCTCCAGAGGACACTCCAGACAAATCAGTTCCGGTGAATAACGTGGCGGTCGACGCTAATTCATTAAAAATAAGTCAGGTTCCATTACCTGCTATAGTACCAAAACCTGCCAAATCATCGAACATGAAAGTTGGGAAAGCCAGGGTGACCCTCAGAAGATCTGTTAGAAACTACAAGGACTCGCCGTTATTCTTGAAAGGCAATGCTGTTACTCCACTTCTTCATAAGGCTAACTCATCTGGAAAGTGCCCAAACCATTCCGTTTATGGAAAAGGACACGATAAGCCTTCGCGCAGTACATTGCAACAGGGTAGTGGTTGTAAGAGCTCCACTGCTGGAGCAAGTACGTCACATGAAATTCCATGCCCTAAACTCCCTTCGCCGGCCGAAAATCATTCAAATGTCGAAGTGCCAACATCCGTCGGGAATACTACAGTAGCATTATATCGTCCTAGCGCGGACGGGACAGTAATGAGCTCTTCCATAAATCGTAAGCAAAATATTGTCATAAGGGGCGCCCCAGAGTCCACGTCCTGCATTCCGAAGGAACGAGTGACGCACGATCTAGATCTTCTTCCACAGTACGCCAGTGCCGTCCTTCAGGATGGAGAAATATTAACCGTTAAAAAAGCTTTGCGACTAGGCAGAGCGGACTCAAATCGTGACCTAAAAACATCCCCAAGACCCCTGAAAGTTATTTTGGAAAACGAAGCCCAAGCAGCGCTTTTGTTAGAAAGTAGAACGACCTTACGCAATTCGCACAAGGAAGTGTTTTTTCAACCAGACTACGAACCGAGGGAAAGATTGAAAATGAGAGAACTGAGATCAGAATTGAAGGAAAGAATTGGCGGAGGAGAGAAAGGGCTGAAGATCAAAAATGGACAAATAGTCCAAACAAAGGGGTCTTTCCTGTGGTCAGAACCCGTCACAATGAAGGCCGGGCCTCTTCAACGAATCAGTCATTGAAGGTTATATCCGCAAATGTGCAAAGCCTCTTCAACAAACTAGACGAACTAAGAGACTTAGTTATTGAAATTAAGCCAGGCATTATGGCATTCACAGTAACGTGGCTTACTGAAGATATCGCAGATTCAGAAATATCACTTAGAGGATATCAGCAATTCAGGAGAGATAGACTAAGCCGAGGAGGAGGAGTCATAATTTATGTCACTTGCAAGCTAAGCGCTATGGCTGATGTACACAGACCGGTACGGGATGTGGAACTGCTAAGCGTTACCATACCTACAAAGAATGTCCGATCATTGACGCTTCCGGTGGTGTACCGTTCACCTAACCATACTTCTGACCAAGATCTCATGCTCATATCCGAACATTACACAGCTAGCAAGAAGAAAGATGTCCTTATCGTTGGGGATTTTAACGCTCCTTGCATTGATTGGCTAACATGGACTGCACAAGGGCCGCAAGACAGCTTTAATCACAAACTACTACAATTGGCAACGGACAAACTTATCTGCAAGAATGGTAACTTTGGAACACGGGTCAGGGAAGGACAGCAGTCGAACTGCCTTGATCTTATTTTTACCCGAGAGGAGGAAAATGTGTTAGACCTGCAGGACCGACAGCCGTTAGGGTCAAGCGACCACATCACGCTCTACTTCGAGTACTCACTGTTTTCCAAACCCGTCCAACCCGAGAGGTGGGAGAGAAACATTTGGAAAGGGGACTATCCTCTCATGAGGAGGGAAGCGGCAGCTATATCATGGGAGACTGAACTGCATGGTCGAGCAAACGATAACTGGAATACTTTCAGTTCCTTACTGAAAGAGATTGTTTATTCCAATTGTCCTCTCAGAAGAAAGAAAATCACAAACCGCCCAAAATGGATAAACCCGGACTTGAAGGGCTCTTTCAGAAAAAGGAATCGTCTGTGGAGGCGTTACAGACAAACTGGCTCCGACGAACACTTACAGGAATATAAGCGGCAACGAAACGTCTGTAAAAGTGAGGCCTCAAAGCTGCGAAAGAAGTTTGAACTAAACATACTCCGAAATTCGTTGGAGCATCCGAAAATTCTAAATGGTTATATACGAAGTACTAAAAGGACTCAGGAGCTAATCCCTGCCCTCAGGTCTGCAGATGGAAAAGTGGAGATTGATGACCAGGTTAAAGCGTCCCTACTTTCCGACTTCTTTCAGTCCGTCTTCACCCGAGAACCTAGTTCTATATTTGCCTATCCATCCATTCGCCAACCAACCTCTTCTCCCAGTACCCTTCCCCCTACTATCCCCTCCCTACCCTCCTTAACCGACGAACCACTCTTTTCATCGGCCATAGTTAGGGCCGAGTTACTCCGGCTGAAACCTGCCAAATCGCCTGGCCCAGATAGAATTCCCGACCTAGCACTTCGCGAACTTGCTAATGAACTGTGCAAACCCTTATCCGCAATATTTCAAAAGTCATTTGAAGAAGGCGAGCTTCCGGAAGAATGGAAGTGCGCACTCATTACTCCGATCCATAAAGGAGGCTCAAGACTTGACTGCGGAAATTATCGTCCTGTTAGTCTTACTTGCATCGCGTGTAAAATAATGGAACGCATTATCAAAAGACACTTGATGAAATACCTGGAACAGAACAAAATATTGTGTGGTGCCCAACACGGCTTTCGTCCAGGGCGCTCCTGCCTAACGAGTGTTCTTTACTCGCACGAGAAATGGACACGAGCTACCGATGTCATATTTTTTGACTTCAAGAAGGCCTTTGACAGTATCCCACACAGGCTTCTTTTGCAAAAGATCTGGGATGTAGGAATTCAAGGAAGAATGTTTAAGTGGATCAGGAGTTTTCTGTCCTCCAGACTACAAGGAGTCGTCGTTAGTAATTCTGCCTCGGAATGGGTAAAGGTGGAAAGTGGTGTCCCACAGGGTTCTGTCTTAGGCCCAGTACTCTTCCTGATTTATGTTAATGACTACATCAGCGAAGTGAATTGCGAGGCTCTCATGTTCGCGGATGACATAAAAATATGGAGTGAAGTCAAGTGTGATGATGACGCAGAGAAGTTGCTGTCGAACATCAACAAACTGTGTGCTTGGTCGAACAGGTGGCTTTTGAAGTTTAACGTGTCCAAATGCGTGGTTTTGCACCTGAACACCGGCTGCAATGCCTCTCCCAAACACCAGTACTACATTGACGGGACGAGGTTAGAAACTGTGGAAAGACACAGAGATCTGGGTGTATGGACGACCACAAATCTATCGCCATCAGAACACTGCAGAAAGATGGTCCAGAAGGCAACTAGTACTCTACACTGGATCAGACGCGCATTTAAAATATTTCCTCCCGAACTTTTCGAAAGACTCTTTTGTGTCTTTGTAAGACCTCATCTAGAGTATGGAATGCCAGCAGCTTCACCATGGATGAGGAAGGATATCAACTTACTCGAACAGGTGCAACACAGAGCGACAAAGATGGTCGACGGTCTAAAGCATTTGTCTTATCAGGAGAGGCTGAATTTGCTTGGCCTATTCCCTCTCTCTTATAGACAAATAAACTGCAGTCTACTCTGGACGTTCCGGATTGTTCGCGGCCAGGGTTGCTCATTAAGAGCAGAGGACTTCTTTGAGTTCGCCCGAACAAACCAACTACGCGGCCATGCATACAAAGTCGGGAATGAGCGCACGCGTTTAGGCCGACGAACATTTTCATTCAGCCAGCGGGTTGTCAGGCCGTGGAACTCGCTCCCAAGCGAGATGGTGACGGCTGACACAGTTTGTATGTTTAAAAGAAAACTTGTTTGTCTAGTTTTCGACAGAAATCGGCTTGTACAGCATGACTATGCACAACCAGTTTTGTAAAATCTGTCATATACAATCTTCCGCACTAATTTACAGTGACCCTATGCACTACCTTATAATTACGATTGAACTGTGACCCAAACGCATTTTAAATTCCTGCAATTTTATTTTATTTTTGAGTATGAATCTGCGAAAGCGCTGTACATAAATAGGGTCATCAAGGGCTCTGCCTGTAACCCTTCAATACATACATATACTTATGCACATACATAATTGGTCTGTAAATATTTGCAGAGGCCTTGCTGCCTCCTTTATGCAGCAGTGTGTTCCGCGCAGATTTCCGGTCAGCGGGTAAACAGCCGGCTTCAAACGAGGATTGAAAAAGTATGGACAATGGTTTGACTAATTCAGCAGCGAGCTCCTTCAGTAACTCAGGCGGTATGTTGTCGGATCTGGTGATTTCGACTCATTTAGCGTCATTAGCTGTTTGCGATAACTCGCTACATAAAAAGAGACAGCCTCAGTTTTTGGACCCTCATCGAAGTCGTAGTAGGGGGGGAAGTAAATGTGTTTTCGCTCGTAAAGGTGGATTTAAAAAAATGTGGAAGTTGCTCAGCTTTTTCTCTATCCCTACTAATCTCTAGGTCTGCGCTTGTTTTCAGGAGGAGGACATGATCTCTGTTTCACATGGTGCTACTTATGTAACTGCGGAATATTTCCGGATTATCCACAACACGATTCAATGGGACTTTTCAAAATTTTGCCGTGCCTTAGGACAAGTCGCTTGACTAAGTTCCTCTGTGTTTTGTATGAGCTTATTGATACAGGATTCCCATCAGTGAGAGATTTCTACCACAATCACCACTCTTCATTTACTTCCTTGCTTAACGCCTGAGTCAGCCACTTGGGTCAATTGTTTAGTCTCTTCCGTGAAAGCGGGCAGTGGTTTGTCAGGAGAACGTACAATAACTCCCTGAACCATTTCCAGTCCCCCGCTATATTTCCGGAAAAGCTAATTCCCAGTCTACATTGATGATTTTGGCCTTACTAACCTAAAGCTAATAGCGCAACTTTGAACTTATTATTTGTAAATTCGGTCATAACTTTAAACGAAGGTATTCATCATCATCATCATCATCATCATCATCATCATCATCATCATCATCATCATCATCATCATCATCATCATCATCATCATCATCATCATCATCATTATCATCATCATCATCATCATCATCATCAGCAGCAGCAGCAGCAGCAGCAGCATCATCATATTCAGCAGCAGCAGCAGCAGCATCATCATCATCAGCATCATCATCATCACAATCAGTTAGAAAGGGATCACATTCAACTTTGATATTAACAGGACTGTTGTGCTGCCTTTTCTTATTACACTCATTTCAGCCCTGTTTTCATATTCTGAACGCGATCACAAACCATCTGATATCATTTGATGTTTTCGTCGCGAAATTCCTACGTATGTAGGGGATGAGCTGCTAAGTCCTATCTGAATCGTAGTTTATTTACATGTATCTGTGTTCCTATACGTCCCATCCCACCACAAGGTACATGTGTCACCCGTGGTTTTCCTTGGCATGGTATGCTCTGTGAATAAATGGGCAATGCTCCAGTGATAATTCAGCTCACAAGCAAAAACATTTGCCCTTACCGTACAATGGATGTTCTGCAAACGGGCTCCTCAGATTTTTCATGCACTATCTGTGCTCTGTTTCAATTGTCTGCGACAGTTCGCGGATCACGAAAGATGATTTTCACCGTTTGCCTCACGACGTTATAGGCGTAGGGCGGGGACTTTATTATTAAGTATATATGAGAGATAGAGGCAGAGCCTTGGAAAACCCTATTTACAGATAGACGTATGAAAAAAACATGCAGATATTTGCATAGCAGCGTGTGGATGACGTCAACTCTCAAACCATCGTCTCACTGCGCCAAGGTATCAAAGAAAGCCATGGGTATCCTAGGCGCGATTAGATGATCCTTCGTCAATTTCGATGAATAACTTCTCGGCCGAGTATTTGACGCATACGTTCGACCAATGTTGGAATATTGTCCAGGCATGGTGTCCCTGGACGAAAAAAGATAACACCCTACCGGAGAACGTACAACGTAGAGCGACCAAGCTAGTCGGCGGATTATGTGGCTTACCTTATGAGAGACGGCTGGAGAAGCTAAAAATATTTTCTCACTCTTATAGGCAGTACAGAGGGGATATGATCATGGCTTTCAGGATTGTCCGAGGGATAGACTGTGTTCCTCAGTTTGAAGATTTCTTCGAACTGGCACGGACGACAAATCTTCGAGGGCACCAATACAAATTGAAGACGAAATATGGCAAACTGGAGTTGCGGGCCAAATTCTTCTCCCACCGGCTGGTTGAGGGATGGAACAAATTGCCGAACTCCGTTGTCTTAGCGGAAATCTTCGAAACTTTCAAAAGAAGATTAGATAAATTTAGGCTTGATGGTCAAACAATTACATGATATCAATGACTGGCATAACTGCTATGTAAATAACTGCATATTTTTTTTCATACGTCTATCTGTAAATAGGGTTTTCCAAGGCGCTGCCTCTATCCCTCATATATACTCAATTATACCGAATTATGCCAGTCATTGATATCATGTAAATGTTTGACCATGAAGCATAAATTTGTCTAGTCCTCTTTTGAAGGTCTCGACGATTTCCGCTAAGACAACTGAGTTCGGCAATTTGTTCCATCCCTCAACCAGCCGGTAGGAGAAGAATTTGGTCCGCAATTCGGGTTTGGCATATTTTGTCCTCAATTTGTACTGGTGCCCTCGAAGATATGTCGTCCGCGCCAGTTCGAAAAAATCGTCTAACTAAAGAACACGGTCTAGTCCGTAATGGCAGCAGATATGTGATGCATCTAACATATTCTCACCTCCTCACCCATATGAACCCCGTGGAAAGACAAGCGCAAGATGACTGTCCCGATTGTCGATTCAACCGCTGACAAATTCAGACAGTCGAGCCTCGTAATAGGTTTTGTTTTACAAAAGATGGGGGCGTCCTGATTCTCATAAGCTGGAGAATAGTAAGGAGCTCCCATAGAGAAGGAGTCACTGAGTCTGATTCCCAGCCTAGAAATCGGTTGCCACACATAGGCAGAACTGATTGCGCAGCGCGAGTTACCCCTAATCAGTTGATAACTTTCAAGCCTTGACTTATAGCTTGTAAGGTTTATTAAGAGAGGAGTGTGCTTATGTTCCGTGGGGGTTGATTCACACTATCGACATCATTCTCTATTTCCTTTTGCATTCATCAGTCTATGCAGTAGCCTGTTTGCCGTCCGATTCCGAAATTTGGTGCAGTGGCTAACAGAGCTGCAGGAGCCCATCTACGTGCGTCACACCCGACGTGGTTAGTCACCAGTTTTCACTAAATAGCATGCTTCCCAATTCCGTTAAAATTTGATGTGCTGGCCACGAGTCGGGTAGCGTGAAGCCAATATGTGTGTGACATTTGGCTGAGTTAGCGAAATCGGCCAATGTGAATTTGGACTTCAACAAAGTGCCACAGGATTTAATCGATGCTCATGCGGAGGACTAGACCCATTCGGCGATCTAAGGCCTGCGGTCAGCGTAATTAGTTAAGGTGAATGTGACGGGTATATTTTGGTGCTCCTGCAACCGGTTTGTCGGGCTCAGAACGATGGATTCACACGTGAATTTGCACAGTCCTCAGTTGCAAACGTTCATTGACTAACGTACTATTGTCAAGACATTTATTTAATGCATTTATGTGCTCTCTATAAACAGCAGAGCACTACTATGATTAAAAAACGTTACAAAGGAGTAGGTCAATAGAGTTAATTTTATTTAAACATATACTAAACGAAACATTGAAAACTGCAGTGGTTTAAACATTCCGTTTAATTGACCTCTTGATGACCTACAAATTAGGGTCTTAAGCAAATTTAAAGTGACAGGTATGCTTAATCGCGCTCCTGTCACTGACAGTTGTCAACATCTCGCACATCACATTATTATATAAAATTTACCCTGCATTTATTCCGAGGTATTGTTAGGAGTTTCGCGATAATCTTACAAAACATGTTATGTTTTGTGCAAACATGTATTTTTATTAAATAAACAATTGTCAACAACCGCTTACACATCGGCGTCAAATACTGGAAATTAAACAGGTAACCCAGTCCTCCGATAAAATGATGGGGAGAGGTTCTTTTGCAAATTTTTATGGGGTCATTTTTTGCGTGATAGTTGCAAAAAATCCTGCCAGACTGTTAATATATCTATATAAATAAAAATGGAAGTGGTTTTTTGTTTATTGTCGGTAATCTCGGAAAGTACTGCCCCGATTGCGCTGAAATTTGGACACAACCTTTCCTGCGCATAGAGCCGGGTACTTTATGTCTATCTTCTAAATGAGGCAGATGGCACGTCTGTGATGGGTAAAAAATATGTTTATTTCATGCATAACAACCCCATCTGCTGACGCGCTGGTCTGCGGCCACTTGACCGGCATTTACTCGGACAGAAGTGCCCCCGCCGAGCCACTTGCTAAGCAGCCGCTCAAACATACTTGCTCCGCCAGACGGCCGCGCTCACCCCCTCTGAAGGCACTTGAATATGACCTCCCCCTGGGTCGATACAAATGGACAGCTATGCAAACCACCTCCCTGCAAAAAAACATGCGACTCTTGGGCTCCCCTTGAACTTGCTCCACAGAACACACTTATCGAGACTGTCACTGCTTCCTCTGGGATTTTCGGGCGTGATGACTGGATGTAGTTTACACCGCCCCTCTCAACCCCTGTGGTTGCGAAAAAAATGATGCATTCGGAAGTGCCTACGTAATACACACGGAATATGTGTAGAAAATTTTTCGAACGACTCAAACGGGGACAGCGAGTCGACGAAACAACCTGGCATACGTAAAAGAATTGCGATAGGCAGACGGCACATCGTGCATCCGAATCAGGTCGAATGCTTCTTCCTTCGCACGCTGTTGGTAAATGTGGCCGGTGTAACGTCTTTCCATCAATAGGGAATAGTCAACGGCGTTATACTTTCCGTTTTTCGCAGTGCATGTCAGGCTCTCAATTTATTGGATGACAATAAACATTGGGACGTATGTATTAATGACACGTGCAACGCGTCCCATCCACATCAAATTCGCGCATTGCCTGCAATTATAACATTTCATCAGACTGAGCCACATCAACGCGTGGCCTGGTCCGGCTAGTTGATATTATAAAAACGTTCCAAAAATAAAATACGAACTACCCCTCCGACTGGGTCATGACCCGCACTTAACATGTGAGTATGCGTTAGCGGGGATAATATGTCGCATGATCTCATCAAACTTATCAAACTTAGCATGTTTAGGCACAGCCTTTGCTATTACGGTTCATGCCAGCCCCTTAGATATAAAAATTTACGGGTTGTAATGTATCTTAAAGCGCTTTAATCTAAACCGCATATCTGTCTACCACCGAGTGCCTGGTTGTCGGTGGGCCCAGCAACAGCAACAAGTATACTTGCATATTTCATAAGCATGATATCACTCATCATTCGTGATAGTGTAAATTGTGATGTGGATGTGAATTCTTCTACCATGTCTTAAAAATTTGACGCAGCTGCGGACATCGAACGAAGTGTATATATTTTCCGTCCCTATAGGTAATAACATCAAAAATGAAGAAGTCTGGTCATTTGTTTAGGTACGAAACCTGTTTTACACTTCTTGGCACTTAGATATGGATTCGCTGAATTTAGCTAAGAGAGCTGAGCTAGCAAAAATGGACATCAATTAGTGTTTTAAAAGAATTAGGCTTCCATAGGTTTCAAGCTCTAGGCAGCTGGCCTCGTCTGCAGAAGAATTCAGTATGCTTGCTAGGTTTGCGCAATTTTGTTGATGGCCAAGTTTTATTGTTCAAATATGCCTGTTGACGTCAGTAGTATGGCCAAACATGTTTTGTGCCACCATGCATTTATTACTACAAGTAGACAAGTTCCATGCCTTTGGAACCATTTTATGTCTAACCTGGTATTACCAAAAATGTAATCAGGAGGTCAAAAGCGGTCAGGACGTTTAGCAAAATAACGATGTCCTCCTTGCAATTTTCACTGTTCTAAATAAATTAAAAACAGGGTGGAGGGTCCATCGCGACCACTAATTACCGTTACGCCATCTGATATGCGGCGTCAAATTGCAACGTTGATGCGAGCTGACTAACAACCGACCCATTAATATCTGAAGAGACGTTTTTTGCGCATGAAGATGAGTCTCATTACCAGTGTCTTTAACATTCAACATCCCAAAAACAGTTCTACCAGCATTCTCATTTGCTGTCTTCGAATTTGAATAAATTAAAAACATAACCTTTGCTTCTAGGTTAAAGTATCTCATATGACTCCATATAACGGTGGTATTGGCAGTTTG